CTGGGTAAATGAATGAATTGAATTGCTTATTCGACTGATATTTCACTTACAGTATAGCTTTTAAAATAATATTTTCAAGCACCCATACCCATTATTAGAAGAAAACATTTCCAATATTTGTTTCAACTTTCAACTTACTTGATTGAAAAAAGTGGGATACAAAAACATAAGACTTGTCAGTATAATAATGATTTATGAGCTCGGAGCCTGTTCCCCCTCAGAGTTGTACATTTCACACGCAAAAGTGTCACTCAGCAAAGGTCAAAGGAGAACAGGCCGGGCTGTCGGGTTCACGGGTTTACGGGTCGGATACTTAATCAAACCATAAATATCCCACAAGCCCATAATCTGGATGCTGGCTCGGCTTACGCAAATGGATGTTGGCCAGAAAAACAAAAGCGAAGCGAACACGCTCGTAAATAAGAGACGATCATTGATTAGCGAATAAATATTCACACGGCGCCTAATTGGCCAGCTCCGGACCCAACTTTTGGGGCAAGTTCAGGGTCACCGGGTTGTATAACCGGGCGGATTTGCATTTACGAGGTCTGGTCTGTTCTGAATGGTTTCCTCAACTTTCCGTGAGGGCTGGGGGCGCAACCAGTTGTCGAAAAACTCTTTTGTTGATACTTTCTTGGACAAATTGCAAAGCAAACAACCACACTTTGCCAATTTCGCAGAGGGATTAGTTTACACGTAAATTTGCCAAACTAGTTTCAACTCTTTGTGGCAGCTCCAAACCGAACTCTGTGTTTTATTTAATTTGTGGACCAGCGAAACAATTGGTCCTCAAATTAGCTCTGTCTGTATCCACTTTCAACTGCATCTGTTGTCAATCAAATATTTAACATTTAACACGTTTTGTGTACCTCTTGGGAAATGTGGTTTCCAACGCGGGTTTCTACCATCAATTGGGGTGTTCTGGAACTCGAGTCAGTTGGTAACACCGATCGAGACTACTTCTTAAATGATTTCCATAAACCCGTTTATCTTTTCCGGTCGAATGTTATCGAAAACACAATTTTTAATGAAGCCTTCTCGTCCCATGCTGAGCGGAATTTGAATTTTAAATGGCAATTTCGTATCCAAAGCGAAATAGAAAATAAATTAAATTCCAGCTTCCTTTGATTGAACAACGTAATCATTCTTATGATGCCCATTTCCGCTATTCGACATACACTTGAATTTTTAAAGAATTTAAATTCTTTTTCGCTTCGATTACGATAGTAGCAATTAGCTGCAATTAAATGGTTCTCAGAACCCATAAAAATACTTGTTTGGGAAAAGTGAATTAAAAAATCAAACTGGATATCGAAACTACACAGTTCCATGCCTTTTCGCAAGTCCATCCCATTTCTTAATTTGCCTGCTCTTGGCAGCTAATTTAATATTTATAAACACTTATTTTTTAGTCCCATTTGGAATTTATGAATGGTCCGGCGAAGAGTAAGCGAAATGAATTGTTTATTAAAAAGGTAAACACAGCGAGGTGATGCCGCATACGAGCAGGGGTCGACTCGCTTTTTTCCGCCAAGCAAGTATACACTTTTCCATTTTCTGGGCTGGCCACCGCAACAAGCTGGCAGAGCCGGCAGAATATTACATAATACGAAATTTCGTCGAAAATAGCCCAAGGAAAATACGAAACTGGTTGCATTTTTAATTAAAACGTCGCTTTTTTATTATTACTTTCTGGGGGGCGTTTAATGGGCAACTCCGATGGTTGGGAGTGTTGACAGCCCTCACGACACTTGTCAAAATATTTGCCACCGGGCTTAGACTCTGGCTTTCGCTCCTCTCGCCAGACAAGAGGCCGCAGCCGATGGCGGAGTCATATGGAACAACTTTATTAGCGCTTTCCATGCCACTTGCCACAGTCGGCGTCAGCGGGAATCAATTGAGTGTGATTGTGATGGGCAACTTTTATTAATAACGCCATGACATTTATGGCCACTTTATCGAGAGGGAGACAGTCGTCATTAGAGTTAAACTACCATATCATTGCAAAAGGTCAAAGCCGTAAACACGGCTCTACGACGCAGACAGCTGTATCTGATGGATGTTGATGAGTGCACAGCGAGAAACTTTATTGAGAGGTCCAATGACAGGTGATTTATTCAAAAATTACATTCAGAAACTCCATCGTTTTACGACTCTCAGCATAAAAAAATGCGAAAAGTTTCACATGCACGTGTTAATGAATCCGCTTACCAAGCAGAAATTATGTTTCTGCTCAGCGTGGCCGGGGCCGGGGCCGGGGTCTGGGAGCAGGCTAATTTTCGATTTCCAATCCGAAGCCCCCCTCCGCGGTTTATCCCCGCCGGAGGAAGTGCCCATCTATTTCTGTACCTTACACCAATATTTGGATCTGCCCAAAGACTGAAGTTCTGTCAGATCTCATTGCGTATTTCTCCTCGTGTGCTTCCCTAATGGCTGTTTTTCTGTTGACCTTGTCCAAATTTATGGCCTTTTGGGTTGGGCTTTGTTTATCTGAGAGTTACACGTTTCCCCCCTCGCTGATAACATGTGTACAGCGCAGGCCGGTGGTCGCTATAGCATTGGGGCTATAGCATTTCTGTGGCTTACTTTGAATAGTATACGGTTGTTATATGTTAGGTCTCTTGAACACCCGATAGATGGTGAAATATGCTTTCGGCACGAACCCACTGCTCTCTCTCTCTGATATAACGAGGCTTTCCAACGCTTCAGTTCTATTCAGATTATTTTATTCTTTCCCAGAACAAGTGCAGGCAACAATGATGTAATGCCAGTTCATTTGATTAATTTTATTCCCATACCGACTGATAAGTTTACGCAATCCGCCAGCTATTTGAACACCGTTGATGCAATTTGAAACAAAACCCAAAAGAGCTGCACACCTTGCTATACAAACGTATTATATCGTACGTGTAGATACGTTTGTGTATTTGCATACCAGTTGACTCAAATTAACTCGCTTTGAGCCCGAGCTTGGGCGTTTTTCGCACACTCACGCTCGCCGCCGTCCGACAAAATACACACTTAAAGATACATTCACACGGATCAGTTTGTTATTGCCGGCTTAGATGAGACGTACCTACGTATATATCTATAGTATCTGAGAAATACTATACAAGCCATAGATTGAAGAGAACTCGCGAGGCAATAGAAATTATTCGAAACCACAACTAATTCCATGAATCGTCGTGGCTCGTCTTGGAGATACAATCTCATATCCAACGAATTCCTACAAACGCTCGTCATGTAAATGAAATACTACTGAAAAGGCTGATAATTTCAGAGACAAGCTTCCACTCGGGACTGTTAATTTGGGAGCTGTTTGTTTTTCCCCTGTCGAGTTGCGGAAAATTTTGTAATTGAAAAGGCTGGCTGTTAACTGAACTGCGAAAAATAACAAAACAACGAGGAAGCTGACAAAACAGGCATATATTTAAATGCGAATTTGTTCTGCCTTCTTGAATTTGTGAACAACCGTGGGGCGTGAGACCCACTCCCACCGAAAAGTCAAAGTTCAGAGCCCCTAATTCCGCTCTCCCCGGGGTGGTTTGTTTGTGTGACTTTGGTCTTAATTTGTATAATGCATGCACCTCAGAATTGTCAACCGAAACTGACAATAGCCGCAAGTGATTTGTGTTCACATGAGAAGCCATCGCAAATGCGACGCAATTAATATGGGAAGTACGAACTATATACATTCGCATAAACATACCTACTATTGGACTCAGAGTGAGCTTGAATTAAAGCAAACATTCCATAAACTAAGTAGTTCATCTGTTTCTTTACTCATTTGTATTTTGTGTGTTCCGCGCCTCAATCAGTTAATGTCCATTGAGCTCCTTGGCCTACCACCCACGCAGGTCGATATCCGGCGAAATTAAGCATCTAATTTAGCTAATTTGGACTGATTCAATGGGCATTACTGCTTACGTCAGTGCCAGAAAAAAGAGGAGAGAGTAGCCACAAGGCGATTTTCGTTATAATTCAAGCTTCATCTGCCATTTTCCTCAATTATTTATTTATTCTCTTTCCATTCATTACTCCGTCTCGAATTAAATCGAATGCTTGATTAATTATTTAAAGCATTGGTGCTGGCACTCGTTATCTGCCCCAGTCGCCTGCCCCTGAACTCATTGGGAGGTGGCTGAGGCTTCCACAGGCACAGGTGTGTGGATGGCCACTAACAAACATTCGATTGCCCCATCGAGAGCCCAACAAGCACTGACATACAAAAGCCACTCAAAAAATCGTCAAAAAAGGTCTGCGGTGTGATAAGAGCGTGATAAGTTCGGAATGCCTCTCGGCGATAAGAATGTTTGCAAACGATATGCTGCAAATGGATAATTGAGATTCTGGGTGTGGAGCCTTAAAAATACTCTTTTTTAAATTAAAAAAAAGAACATACTAGATATTCCAAGAAATTTAGTGCTTAATCACTCTTGACACGAAAATGTATCCAAATTTTTAAGGTAAAATATTATATTAGGGGAATTACTATTATAAATACTTTCCTATCGAAAAGTTTTTTAAAAACAATGACAATTTTAAACCAAAATAAAGTAAAAAATTAAATCTAAATTTAAATGAATAAACCAAGTCGTAGTAATGGTTTTTATAATGAAATCACCTCAAATTAATATTTTAAAACGCAGAACTTGAGCAAACAATTAGTGGAAAAATACTTTCAGAAATGGGGAGTTTCTGTTGTGAGAATAACACACAATAGCTCTTTATAATAGTATTTATTATAAATACTGAAGTATTTTTTTTTTAAATCATAATGGTATAATTTTTTAGTAAGTATATACTTTTATTATTCATTTTATTTAACCTAAATTAACAACAAATAGTAACAAATAGCTTGCCTATCGTTGAAGAATTATTGTGAAGAGATTGTAGGTTCTAAAGCACTCTTAAGTACCGCCCCTTAATTTCTAATAAACTGCTTTGTTTAATTTAATCTTTAAATATATTTATTAAAATATTAATATTCGATCACTTACCGACTGGCCAACGTTGAAGACTGCAGCCTCTTGGCCGGAGGCGAGGTGGGGGAGCCGGGGGACTTGGGCGATTTTGTGGCACGAGCGCCACCCACCACTGACACCCTGACAACTGAGCCTTTATCCACTGGCTGCCGCGTTGACGGGGGCGGGGAGGGCGTGGCGCTGACCTTGGCGGCGGCAGAGCTGCTGCTCGACCGTTTCACGGTTAGAACTTTGGGCGGCACTTTGGGCGTTTGGACCGAGGGCGAACGCCGGGCACTTGAACTGACATTGGGACTGGCCCGCGGACTCGAGACGGAAACGGATCCGGAACCCGAGCCGGAGCCCGAAGCCGTTGCCGAACCGGACACGGGGCTCGAACCCTGGGCCATTGTCCGCGTTGTCGACACTTTCGATTTCACATCGTTGTAGTTGGTTTTGATCAGTGACTTGTTGCTCGCGATTTTATTCATCACGGCATCCCATTTGTTGGGGGTATGAGCTTTACGATTTTGGGGTGATTTGGGGGATTTCGGCGATTTCGGTGACGATTTCACTGTTCGAGACTTGCCTGCGATTTTCGACGCCGCCGATTTGCACGACTTGGGCGAGGCCAGGGAGGAGTGCGAGGAGGCAGAGTCGCGGAAAGTCTCCACCGTACAGAGCGACGACAGAGAGGCGTGTGGCCGCGGCGTCGTCACTTTTTGAATTGAGTGCCCGAGCGGCGAGGCAGTCGCAGCCGCAGCCGACGTCGCGGCCGCAGCCGACGTCGTCGGTGATCGGCAGTCGGTGCTTGGATTCAAAGTCGCCCCGCCGAAAGCTTCCAGATCGCAAAAGCTCCGCGCGCTGCCGCCGTCGACGCTGCAGTAGGAGGTGCGGTTCGAGAGCGTGGTGGCCGCCGAGGAGGAGGAGAGGCAGCTGCTGGGGGGGCGCTGCTGCGCCGGCAGGTGATTTTGCTGCTGCGTCTGCTGGTTAGTTTGGCCTTGACCTGCGTGGTCAAGAAAATACAATTACTAGTATTTATCCTACATATTTATTTCATAAAATATGTATTTTTTTAAAGAATTCTTAAAGCCATTAAAGTACAGGTAATTCTAATGGAATTCAAATGAGAATAAGATACAAAAATGCTACAACCTTTTTTCATCTTTCTTCCTTATATCTATTTTCTTATAGCTTCTCATATCTTGTATCTTAGGAAGACTGTTAAGAATGGGGCAGTCTTATCACTAGAGAAATAATTTTACTAAGGTGCTCGAGGAAGCTACTAGACAAGGAAGCTACGTATAGACGAAGAATTAACCATTTTTTTGTTAGTCCCATAGTCATTCATTAATTCTTCTACCTATACATATACATTTACACCTGTATAATCCTATAAATAAAAATATGTACATGTATATACTTTGTATAAAAAAAGGATTCCGTAAAATAAATAGAACACATTTCAATGGACAAAGATAAAGAAGATATGTATGTTAATTCAAGGGACTACTGTCATGTATGGACATATGTACAATATTTTGTAATAGGGAAATAGGATGTTTCTATTAGGAATCATCTCCGAGGCACCGACCAGAAGTGGAACAACGAAATTGTATTTGAAGGATCTATTCTATAAAGGTTACTAAACTATGTTCAAAATAACCATTATTTCTCTAAAGGGAGTGAAGTAGAAGATAAATGAACAGTGTATCATATACATAGTCAAAAAATATGCTCAATTATACGAACTTAGCACACCCTTCTACTAATATTTCTATATTCATTCATTCATTCATTATTTAATACCTATTGGAATTAATTGCCTTAATTATTGATATCCCATCTCACCTTTTCGCATGGTCTGCGTGGAGTCATCCGGCGACATGTCCACATCGACCTCCACATCCAGCTCGAGCTCCGGCTGTCGAATCTCCTCGTCACAGCGGTTCTCTACGTCAGTAAATATTCCTGAGGACTCCATGCAGGAGTCCTCCATCTGGGGCACCGAGGCACTCGGCTGCAGCATGTCCGGCCCGTATAACTGACCGTCGATCACTTGGGCCCGACGGTCGCCGCCGCGATGCAGGACGTCGTCGGCATCCGACTCGGTGAAGAAGTCCGAGTCCGTCATAGGATCCTGGCGGCGTAGAGGCGCCACCATGGGGGGCGGGAAGCTGGGCTGGCGGGATACCCGGCCCACGTGGGGCCCGTTGCTCGGCGAGTGGTCGCAGGCACCCCGGGAGGCAGGGCGGGACATCTCTCCATCCCCTTGGTAGCCCGTGTCCAGGCTGGTCACGCTAGTCACGCTGGTGATGAAGCTGTTGCTCAGCTTTGACTGTTGGGAAGTGGTCACCTGGTTCTGAGCCGCCTCCACCTGTTTAACAATCTCTGACTTGATTTCGATGGGGTCCAGGGGCAGCTCCTCCGGCGAGGGAGTCTGCTCCATTCTCAGCTGAGCTTGCAGGTTCGAGTGCTGCAGCCTAATTAGCTCCATGTTGTGCATCAGATTGTTGTGCATTGGGGAGTCCAGGAAGTCCTTCATCTGCTCTGGCGTGAGGATGCCCAGGCTCTCGTCCAAATCGAAGGAGCTTTGTTTCTTGAGGAGTTGCTGCTGCAACTGGGTGGAGGATGAGAACGAGTTCTCCACCAGTTCAATGGAGCAATCCAGGGTGGTGTCGGGCAGGTCCAGGCCAAAGCTGTAGCGGGTCCTTCCCCGCCCAGAAGTGGAGGTCAGGGTGGTATCCAACGCTCCCCGGTTACCATCCATTGACAAGTCACCGTCAGGGGTTCGAGTGGGCAGGACCAGGGCACTCTGGGCCTGCTTCAGCAAGGGGGACAGCAGGTGCACTGGCTGGGGCGTACCCTGACCTATTAACCGCAATCCATGGGGAGTTGTGGTAGCCGACTGCGGGGACAAGCACATCAGAGAGTGCTGGGGAATCGACCTTCGCCCGGCCGGCAGGTGCCCCCGGTTGGGGGTCACCCTCTCCAGCTCCTGGGTCAGATTCAGCAACTGGATGTGCCTCGCTGGCGACTGCAGCCCGGAGATGTCCAGCAGTCGCTCCGTATTCAAAGTGGAGTTCAGTGGCAGTTTCATGTTGGCCTTGTTGGCGCCAGAAGGCGTCAGATTGGTCAACGTCACGTCCAGCATGTCGTTGACTTCCTGGTCCATCTTGTCCACCTCGCCTCCAGAGCTCTTCAGGCTGAGGATGTCCAGGCCCGACGGGATGGACATGTGCTCGATCAAGGGCAGCTGGTCAATGCTCTGGGTCAAGTTGGCTCCGTCGTGGATGATTTTCGTGTAATTGCCCGGCTCATGCACTGTTTTTGTAAGATCTGCCCGGACAATAGGCCCTTTCTCAAAGGTTTTTGTTAGGTTGGGTTCAGGGTCGTCCCATTTGGCTTCATTCTGTTCTACATCTTCTGCTTTTCCTATGGTTTTGGTGAGATTCGGGTCTCTTTCGAAGGTCTTCGTTCGGTTGATGCATCTCGTCACTGTGGTGGTCACATTCCGATTGGCCTCTGCATGAGTGCCACTTAAATCTAACGATCCACCGCCGTCCAGGGTTTTTGTGAGATTTCCAACGCCTTCCAGAACCTTGGTCACGTTTCCGACTCCTTCCAGCACCTTTGTCACATTGCCCATCCCTGAAGGGTTTCCCGAAGTGAATGTGGTGTCATCCTTGGCATTGATCACGGGCCTAGTTACGTCCATGGCGTCCGACTCCAGCACAGTGTGTGTGGCGTTGTTGGCGCATACTCTGGATTCGTGATGGGTGGTGTCCAGGGAGCTGAACTTCCGCAGCATCGATTGGGAGTTCAAAGTTGAGTTGTGGGTGGGTTTCATCAATGGCGTGGTATCCGTTGAGGCAAATCTCTTCAGTTTCGTGTTCATTTCTGCTGATGTGAGGGCGTCCATGGTAAGGACCTTGGTTTCATTGGGCGAATCCAGCTGCGGGCATCCAAGAGTGGAAAGCCGTGTGGTCTCCAGCCTCGGGTGGTTCGACTGCATGTCCTCATCGCACACGAAGGTCTCGGACCTCAAGAGGGGCATTGGGGTGCTGCTGATCATTTGATGGTCTCCCGCCACAGCTCCTCGTTTTCCGGCTGGAAGCGGGGTCACTGGCAGGGAGCTCGTCATCGGGGATGTGCTCGGCTTGGGGCTGAAGTACTTCTTCAGGGCCGTGGTGGTCCGCTTGCTCAGCAGGCTGACCGCGTTGTTGATCCGCTCGCCACTGGCGCTCTTTTTCAGACTACTTCCAAAGTCTCGCAGCACCGCAGAGGAGGGAGCGTACGAGCTGGCCGGTCGCGGCCTGGGAGTGTCATTTGGAGCCCGGAAGATGTGCGTGGCTTTCGAGGTGCCCGTCGGTGGTGGGATGTGTTGGGTGGCGGTGCTATTGGCTCCCTGGCTGTTGCTGGCCAGGCCAAATGTACTTGGTTTTGGGAGCCGCGAAACGCCGTCCAGGCGGGGAATGCGCGACGTGGACGGGTCCTGCAAAGAAAAGCGGGAAAAACGCACGGAATTTAATTAAAATCAGCGTAATACAAGAAGCTGGTTACAGAAGTTCAATTAATGCTACTCTCTGAAATATTTCGAAAACTTAAAGCTATTTTATAAAATCCTTTGCATATTTTCCCGTCGGATAGTGTGCTGTGGCGCCACTGAGATCCGTCCATGAAAGTCCTGCACGTGCTCAGACTTTTCGGCAGTTGCCAATGTGGTGCAAAGTAGTTCAGTGGGGCGTGTTCCCTTGGCACCAGTTCAACGCACTCGAAGCCAGAACCACCCCCTTTCTGCTCCGGCGCTGATGTCATCGAAACCTATGCAGTTTTTCGTCCTTTCCAACCCCTTAGGACCTAATTGGAGTTTAATCAAATCACGAAAACGGGAGCAACTGGGCGACTTTATGGCACCGTTGAGCTGTTTATGGCAGGACGAAGGGGGTGGAACGTGGTCCTGGCTATAATGAATTTATAGCATTGAGGGGGGGTCTTATCGCGCATCCAGCTAATTATGCACGTACTCGGGCAAGGGGATGAAGCGGAGTTGAAGGAGAGCTACCTAGGGTGGAACTTTGTGGCGGATGATAGATAAGTAATGTTCCCATGGAAGGGGAATAAAGCAAAGCTCCAAGTTTCCATTAAGTGGCGTTATGGTTTCCATTATGGGGATTAGCCGTAATGCTCCCAGAAATGAGTAGTTCATGCATTTATTTTTATAAGATTTCTAACTCTCCTCACAGTTTCTACTGTCTTTATTAGTAAATTCAGTAAATTTATTTATAGCCTTTATCCATTTATCCAGACTATAGTCGAAGAGTAATAATAGAGGCTACTATAGCACTTTGCAAGTGGATCGTCACCTAAATGAACGTTCTAAGTCTCCAAGAAGAAAAATTTAGTGTTTGGTTAAAAATTCCTTTAAAAATCGACCCCCAAAACCATCAGCTCTGAAAGTCGGCTTAATGTGCTAAACGCTTGTCAAACAATCGCACCACCAACTTTGCCAACGTTTAGGCCGACATGGAAAAGTTTCTTCATCTTCCGCTCTATTCCCAATTTTTAGGAAACTGCTACATGCCACAATGTGAAATTCACTCGATGCCAGTTTGCACAGGCCCAACTTAATCGAAAATGCAATTTCAACAGACAAGCCAAACAAGCGCCGAAAGCCGTCTTGTGTGCCCGAATATTTGGGGATCCGAGGTCGGGAATGTGTACGGACGAACCTGCCATATGGATGCCCCACCCGGTGCTCCACGCGGTGTCCTTGAACTTTTCGCGTTAAAGTTCCGACGTGCTCCGTGCCCCCAGCAGGGGCCCCGCCCAAAACCCAACAGCCGATTGTTATCAAGTGCAATATGCACAAAGTTTCCGCCGGAGGCGTTGGAGAATCGAGAACTGCTCGTTTCTCAGCCAACTCCGCCATATGTGGCCATAATTATTCGAATATGCCACGATAGCACTGGAGCGGAGGAGCAGTGGAGCGGGAGCAGCTGCTTCTGGGAAATTAAATGTTATCGATAACTGTGCCGGGGGAATTTGCATAATGGCCTTTCGCAGTGCAAGGCAAACAGGACCCCGGTGTCCTTGGGGCATTCGTGTGCAGGATAATGAAGCAAACAGTTCTGATTAAGCGGCTAGTTGTTTGATCTTTCCCGGGAAACTATTTTTTATGAATGAACATTATGAATATTTCTTTTATTGAAGTTTCTACTGATTTTCAAGTAATATTTAGTCTTTTTTTTAAGATTCAAATAAGTTTTTATCATTTTTAAAAATAATATTTTTGAAATCCCAAATAATTAATATTAGATTAAATATATTTCACTTTTATGTTTAATATATTAATATTTAAAGAGAGTCATGTATTTATTTACCTTTTTTTTAAGTTACTTTTCAAGGTTTTACCTTATCAAGGGTGTGCCTGTTTATTGAGTCAACCATTTTAATTTCAAGTTTCAATTATCTTTAAAATCAAAACCTATTTGGAAACCCGAGGAAGCAGCCAATGCACCAAATATTTGTGACAAATAAATATTCACACAGACACCCAAACCGGCGGCAGTCGCAGGATGGAGAGGCAACAAAAAAGGACACGCATCGATTGAAGTCCAAATAAATACTGTCACAACAAAGTACAGAAAGGAGCAGCCCGGCGAATACCCGTACAGCTGACGGCGGAAGCCAGCACAGAAGCGGGGAAAGCAGGCCCAGGGGGGTGGATAAACCTGCCACGCCACCGCCACTGCCACCACTGTCGACTGCCGCGGCACCACCAGTGCCAGCTGCAAGTGGGTTAAGCGCAAACGCATGTCCTTTGGCGAGGACAAGGCAGCGGAAGAGCGGGCCGGAACTAAATAAAAATTTATCGATTTCCATGGTTGAAATATAATACACACACAGGGCGCCATAAAAAGCTGATTCCTTGCCCGATATTGCATATTAATAGCTGCTATCGGCGGGGGAGTGCATGAAATGCAAAGTGCTGGGTGTGCGATGCTTGTGTTTGTCTACAGCTTATGAATGCATAATTTGCATTACCCACTTGCGGCTGGAACCGACCCTGCCGCCCATCAATCAATAGCGATGGTCGGGCTATGAAAAGGCAAGTAAAGAAAGGGAAAATAATGCTCAAATGGGCCAACATTGATTGAACAATTTCATCGATTCTCAATCGGCTGGAAGGACAGTCTTCGCCGCTGTCTGTGTTGATTTTTCATTTGATATTCATGTTGGATTGGAGAAAAGGGTCAAAGACTGGAAAGAAATATAAATGTTTGCAAGAAATAAAATCCAAGTGGTTGTTATACGGCCAGTTATTATAATCCAAGTAAATGTAGTGAAAACTTCCAGCAAACAAGGCAAAAATCAACACTGCTGGGTTCTCGATAAACACCAGCATCCCCCGACACACACAACGCATCCTTGCTCCATAGTTTACCGACTTTTTCATTTATTTTATGGGAGCTACTCTAATGACTTTTCTGCATCCAACCCGAACAGCTCAATTGACTTAAATCGCCACGTTAGTGATTCAAGTGGCTTTTTTGTTCTTTGCCGAGGGGAGGGTGACTGGGTGCTGGCAGACCAGGGACCTCCAACGTCATTTTCACAAGCCATTAGCTCGGATCCATCAGGAGCACTAAGCGGTTTATCTCGTCCAGGACAGCAGTATGCACAAAAGCAGCAAAACAAGGACAAGGATGAAAGTGGCAAACATTTGCAATTAGATGGGAGCCCGGTCCAATACACTTTGCATACTTTGCGGAGTAATAAAAAATGGGAGGCACGAACCGCCGCGTCGAGAAGAAAAACTGCGCATCTGCAGGCCATTTTTCCAGAATACTTTTAGGCGCTGCGACACAACTGGCGGTGCCAATAAATTTCCAAATGTCTGAGAAATAATATTTTTAATATCTCTCCGGCAATGTGTGACACAGGCTGCGACTTGTTTTAGGCCATCACTTGTTGTTTATGATTTTTTCGGCTCTCCCAGACGACGGCGACAGGCTTGCGTAAAATTAAATCATTTTTACGGGCCTCTTCTCATCTCCGGGACTGTCAGCCAGACGATTAATGTTCCAGTAGAATATATTGTGTGTATTCCCTACTAGACACTGTCGAGCTCCATCCCTGGACCCGAGCCAGATTTATGTGCACCTCGACTAGTTTTAAGTGGCGGCAGTTAGGCCCGAACACATGCTGGGTCCTCTGGACAACAGGACCAAGTCCTCACTTAAAGTTTCAAATCAACAGAGACAATTTTTGTATTCTGCCTGGCTTTGATTAAAAACACCCTGGAGAAAACATCTGTAAGCCGAGCACGAAGGTCGGAGGAAGGAAAACCCTAAAAGAAAAACGTCAGCCTTAAAGAAAACCTTAAAGGAAAAAGCCCGCACAATCCCGTTCCAATCCCGTGTTTTGTGTAAACACGGCAGGGGGAATGAAACACTTTCTCAGGACGAGATTTTTACGATTCGTGTTAAGGCATTTTCACTCTGAGTTTGACGATTTGGGAATGTCGTAATTAAGTTTGGGGACCTAAAGCTCTAATTAATGCGCACAATGAATATCATTCTCGGATGTAAGATGCTTAAAAATTAAAAGACGGTAAGAGGCTTTGAGTGTTTCTATAATTCCTAGGAGTTTGGATTCTATAGCACGTTTTTGGGAGAATTGGCAGGGAAGATAAACAGAACTACCATTTGGTGTACAACTACAACTCGGTCATAATTTATTACTCTGCTGGGAGTAAACCAGACCAGCAAGGAGCCTCCCAAGACGACGTCATTTATCAAGTGAGCAACTCGAGCCAGACACTCGGCATCTCTGCCACGTATATTTCTCTATTTTCTTCCCTGAATTGCCACGTCTGTGCAGTGCCACCATCGACCGAATCGCAAATTTAAAATGTAAATTGGTGGATGCAACAAAAACATCATGTTTCATGCCCCAGGCTGCTCTATAGTGCATTCGCTTAAATCGCTGCTCCTTTACATCTGAATTCCATATGGCTTCGGAGCTCCTTCTCCAGCTACCAGCATTTCGTGCCTTCATTTTCGTCCCCAATCAATTTTGTAAATTACGTTTGCAATTGATTTGAAAGCATGTTGCTTCCCCGCCTACCCCCTCCTGCCTTGCATTTTCAATAAGATGAGAAATATTACCGGACTGCCGCCTCTGCGGCTGCCGGAGAGGTGCAACACGGCGTATGCGCAATTTGTTTTGGTCAGCGGCGATCCATTTTTGGGTGGGTCTCGGTTCTGGTTAATGGAATTGCAGCCATTTGAAAGAAACTCCAATAGAGCGACTCGGAAAACAAGGTCACCATTAAATTTCGCTTGTGGCAGCTGTAATTTATTTTACAAAGGACCAAAACAATATATAATACTATTTCATTATAGAAGTACATATACGACCATCAAATCATCTAATAGCCCAATAGTCCACCAAAAGGGGATTACTTGGCTCAATGGCTGGTTAATGAAA